TGATTAATCTCATTCATATATAATACAGCTGTTTTACTCAGCAGACTCATTTGATTAGTATCTCTACATTTAATAGCAAAATGTGTTATTAAACTACCGTAACGATTCTTTTAATTTGTATCAGTTACATATTAGTTTATGTCATTGCAGAGCAAAGTAAAGACTGCATGGCAAGTAATATGCTACAATTTATCGGAGGTAGATGCATTAATGTTTAATGTGTTATCAATGGAAGCAGCGTAGGAATATGAGTAATGTAAATATGCAAATCTTTGATCGCTTGCTTGTATATATTTACTTTTTAAAATATTTGTTTAAATTGTTTAAATATAATGTTGCTCACTAGAAGAAAATTCTAAGGCCTCTGAAAAATCTAGTTAAAATAAAATAGAAATACATTTTTTGCTCGCTTGCTACACATTTCGAATCAAGGAGTTCGAAGAACTAAATAAAAAATTGACTTGGTTTGGACTTAATGAGTTTATTCGTTTACAGTTGTATTTATTATATCGTGTGGAACTTTCAAGACTTATATAAAACAACGTTCTTGAAATTGTTTAAATTAGTATACTCATAGATTGATTGATTGATTGTTCGTTGCTTAACGTCAAGTGGCAAATATTTTATGTATGTTCAGGACGAGAATACTCAGAGAATAAGATTTATTACAGTTTTAATGTTATTCATAGACTTCTATTGTTACCTGTTGGTTTTTATTATTATCTGTGTACTGTATATTATTACCTTTGTCAAATTCATTTGGTAAATTTGTAAATATATTTCAGTTTGCTTAATTGATGGTTCGTGTCTTTTTGTGAGACCTTGCTTATTCAGTTATAGCAGTAGAAAAACCTTAGCTTGTTTTTTTTATTATTCATAATAATTCTTTAATTGTTTTTTTCTAAATAAAAAAATGATACAAATAATCTAGATATCCTTTTTGTGTTTTTGGGTTAGTGTCTCATTAGCGTACATTTTTAGCAAACCCAACAGCTTGTACTTTTATTAAAATTCTAATTTTATATGATGTTCAGGCCACATTGATTATGAGACTTTATCGGACTTTTTGATGAAGGAAGTTCATCTTCAGGACCTAACAATGGTGATGAAAGATGGTATTTAATTATTACCCCTTTGATATATGCTGTATGTGTTTCTTTATCGTTCATTGCAAAAGTATACGTCTATAGATAAATTATTTAAATTTATTTAACAGACTTATTGTCCAAAATGTAAATTGATTATTGGCTCTCAATAATGACGACTTCAGTATGTACGCTAAAGAGATTTATTCTGCTGAACTGACTTTAAATAAAGCTGATAATAACAATGAAACTGCCCTTTCCTGGATCTTGATATCTATATCTTTAACGGGATTTTAATACCAAAATTTACGATAAAAGAGATCATTTTTCATTTCCTATTGTTAATTATCCATTTTTAGATGGTGACGTTCCCTCGTCACCATCTTATGGTGTTTATATATCTCAACTTGTTCGATTCGCTCGTGAATGTAACAACGTATTTGATTTTAACGAAAGAAATCTCTGTATTACTGAAAAATTATTACACCAGGGTTTTCGATATCACAAACTAGTCAAAACATTTACTAACCTTTATCATCGGCACAAGGACATCATTCGTAAATATAAATCAACATGTGTTCAGGTATTTCACATCCGATCTTTTATTGTAATATTAAAAAATCTCGTCATTCACCCCAAAAGCTAACCAAACTTTAAACAGACTTATTCAGAAGGGATATAGTTACGATACTGTTGTCAGGTCATTGAAGATTGTATATTTTGGAATTAATATTGATTCACTCATAGGGTCTTTGCATCGGAAATAAACACATTTATTCTAAAACCTGTTGTTGGCATGATACGGGTTATGTTCTTCTCATATACTTTATGATGGTATGATACTAAACCCCTAACGGGAGGGATTGTACTTGATTTTCATATGATGAAGACATACTCTTTCAATCAGTTTAATTGAGGTATAAAGCTGGCATGTCAGTAACTGCTAGTAGTCCTTTATTAATTTATGTATCATTGTCATTTTGCTTAGTTTCCCTTTTTTTATTTTTTTTATTTCAAACATATTTTATTCGTTAAGATATGAAAAGGATTGAGCAACAGGCACAGCCTATAAAAGCTCTCTCCATATTACATGTACAAGGTATAATTCAATTATAACAGCTGTATTTAAAATAATGTAATATAGTGGAACATGCATGCTACTTATGAGCACACACGAGCAAATGTGTTACTTACTAAATTTATGAAGTCTTATACTAAATTCGTTAGATGTATACTGATTGATAATTTAGTCTGAGAGAACATGATCTGTTTATTAGTTGTAAATGGCTTTGAACTAGCTTTCAGTAACTGTGAGTACTGTTTTATCGGTGCTTTGTGTCTACTGTCTTGATGTTAGTTATATTTGCGATTTGCAACTAATTTTTACATTTCAACAAATGTCGTGCTGTTACACCGCTGTTCCAGGTTAGGGGAGGCTTGAACACTCACAAAATGTTTAACCGCGCCACATTTGTACCTGCATGTCCCGAGTCAGGAGCCTGTTCTTCAGTGGAAGTTTGTCATATTTGTATTTTGTAAATTGTATTGTTATGAATTTGGCCTTCAGTTGTCTTGTTTGAATTGTTTAACATTTTTCCTGTTGGGGCCTTTTATCGCTGACTATACGGTAATTTATTTTTTATTGTTGAAGACCGTACTGTGACTTATACTAATTATTGCTTAAATCACCGTCATTTGAACTATGGTGGATAATTGTCTCATTGGCAATCATACATCATCTCCTTATTTTTATAATGGGTGTAAAGCATCTTTTCGAGCAACATCTAAAATCGCTTTTTTACGTCAATATATCAATTTTCACATGTTCTAGGAAGGAGGGGGTGGACAGCATTTGAGGGAGGTGGGAGGTGGGGGCGGAACTGGGAGAGGGGGCGGTGGGAGGAAGAGGGCGGGTGGTGGGAGAGAAAAAAAGATTCTAAAAGTGGGAGGTGGGAGATAGGGGGCGGGAGGTGGGAGAAGGGTACCCTCCTGTCCACCCCTCAGGAAGTCACTGAAAGAAAATAAGCTATACAGCAGCAAAAAAAACATTCCTGCCTTATTTCCTGTCCTTTCATTTGACATAGTACACATTAACAAGGCGGTTACACTGTCGATGCAGCCGGGAAAACTCCAATTTGAATTAATGGAAGCCTCTCAGATCTTCCTTTTTATAGAGACGTTTTGAAAAGGGACTAGCTTATACATGATTTGTTTTGATCATTCTATGTATTTATGATGGGCGATTGAAGCGTGTTCAAATTGAGTTATCTCCCTTTTGCCAGAATAAAATCTGTATAATGACTTAAGGAAAGTATAAGTAATGTAGCTCCTCCAGATTTGTATAATGACTTAAGGAAAGTATAAGTTATGTAGCTCCTCTGGAAATCTGTATTATGAATCAAGGAAAGTAATAAGTTATGTAACTCCTCCGGAAATCTGTATTATGACTCAAGGAAAGTAATAAGTTATGTAGCTCCTCCGGAAACCCTTTGTTGGTATATTCTGTATGGATTACGAGTTTAAGAAATTAGTAACTACCGCTTAACCTTTTGTAAATGTACTGTTTATTAAAAGTTTTTTTTTTTTAAACAGTTAGGTTTTATACCCCAGGCATGGACGGCCTTATCCGACTTTCCAACTGTTTTGATTAGAGTGCCACTGATGAATCTTATGTACTCTAAACAAATCAAAACCCTGGAATCTCTGATAAGTTTTCATTTCTCTAATTTGACACTAAAATATATAAGAAGGGGAGCACTACAGATAACGTTGTGCCGCATTTTGTAATTATTATTTTTTTTTTGTAAATGTTTTTATAAGCACAACATTCATATACATGTGTATGATTGTGAGAAGTTGTGAGGTAACAAAAGAGCCGAAGAACAATTCTTATACTTTTGCTTGGTTAATAGTATAAATCAACTTTTGTGAGATCGCTTTTGCTTTATTAAATTCTTGCAATCGGTATTCAACTTTAGTCGTTTGAGAGAAATGTCAGAGTAAATTTTATTTGGTTAGATAATTTGTGTAAATGAAAAATATAAATCACGATTTAACGGACTCATTTTCTGCACTTTGGACGCATGAAATTCACACAGTGTTATTTTCACACAGACTACTAGCAGTTACTGACATGCCAGCTCCAGACCTCAATTAAACTGATTGAAAGATTATGTCTTCCTCATATGAATATCAGGCACAATCCCTCCTGTAAGGGGTTTAGTATTATACCGTCATAAAATATATGAGAAGAACATTACCCGTGTCATGCCAACAACTGATTTTAGAATAAATGTGTTTAATTCCGATGCAAAGACCCTATAAGTGAATGTCTTATTGACAGATTCATGTACCCAATGTCTCCTTTTATTAATACATATATAACAAAATCAAACTTTATAAAGGTATACAATTTATTATTTAAAACTTCATATGCATATAAAATCAACTGAAAAAATACGATAGATAAAAGAAAGCAAAACTGAATGAAAAAAAACAACGCCCCGTTTGTATTAATTTCTGTAAAACAATCCCTCTTAAAAAAGGTCCACAAAAAACTTATAACCTAATCGAAATTTCTGTGCACATTTTGCGTCTATTTTTTAATGCTTTATCTGTTTTTATCTGCACACATAGTACAAGTGTGCATATTTAAGTTAATTAAACACATATTTATATCAAAGAGGAAGATCAAGGGTTCGCTTGTCCCACATGATATCGTACGATGATACAAACAGATTAACTTTTTAAGGTAGGCATTTTTATGTCATTGTGTTTTTATTTTCTTGTTGCAAATCCAAACAATCTTCCCACACGTACAATATGAGAATGTCGTTTTATAAGTTAGTGATCTTTTATCAATAAAGCATTGAAAGGATAACAGAAGTAACCATAAGTACTAAACAACATTCAGAAAAAAAAACAGAATATAAAAAGAGACAATCAACACCGAACATTATACGGGAAGATAGCCGGCATATGCACGTAATGGGATGGGGTAACACCAGTTTAACGTGCACGCAAATTAATTTATCCTTTATCAATCTAGAACGTATGTTGTAAAACTAAAATACACAATTAAAACCCTACTGGTGCGGCTACCAACGGGATGACCCCAACTTGAACATGAAATGAAATACTGCTGTTCTCTTTTTTGTCGTTGTTTTATTTTTTTACAATGGCGTTGTCTGTTTTATTGGACTTATAATTTTTCATTTACCCGCTTGGTATCTCCTCTCTCTATGTGCGTATACATATAATGTAAACATGGTTATGTCATGACTATGTAATAAAACTAGTTTAATTTGCATCCAGCAATATTATAAGCACGTCCAATTTTATCGTCGCATTAATTGCATCGCCAGTCCATACAAAAAATGATAATTCATTACAAAATATACATATAAATTCAATGCGTATGTGACTTTCAAAGATAACATGGTCATGAAAAAATAGTTATGCATAATAAGTCGTTATAATTATGCATTTCAGAAAATATGTCCGTTTCATTTTCTGGATGTGAACAACATGAACATGAAGAAGTTCGTTTCTTCTGCCAGGACTGTAAATTATTGGTATGTGATGACTGCATCACAGGGCCCCATAAAAGTCACAAATTTATGAAACTCAAAGAATTTGGAACCAAATGCAGGAACTCTCTTCTTAAGGCCATAACAGAGGCAGAAGATTCCAAAATCCCTCACATAAAAGAGTCCATATCAAAGGCATCAGACGTACAGACCATCCTTAACACGTCCGTCAGTGAGCAAGTCGAAATCATAAGAACGAAGCGGCAGATGATAAATGATACATTTGATGAATTACAGAATGAATTAATTGAAAATCTGAATTCAGAAGAAAAGATTGCTGACAACGAGTATAAACGGTTTATTAAAACACAAGAAAAACGTATAGTCGATATTCAGGCAATACTCGAAACCTGTAAAACGAAGAGTAATGATATACCTGACACAGACATTGCTAAGTATCACGTGACATTAAAGAAACTGCTTGAACACGACCCATATACCGATACCATACCAAACTTACAAGTCCCGATCTACCAGTTTAACGAAGAATTTGCAACCAAAAGTAAACTGCGGCACATAATGGGTTATACTGAAGCTGGAATCTATGAAATGCTACAACCCATCAAAAGTCAAGAGACGGCAAGTGTTAAAAGCGAGGATTCCGAGATTATGGCACCTCAAAACGAGGAATTCGAAGAAAAAGAAGAACAACACATCTCTTATGTAAATGCAATTAAGTGGAATAAGGAAGAACTCCAGTTAGTGGTGTCTTTTACAAGTGGAAAAGACATAGTTTGGATTGTCCCTCAAGAGCTGGAATTATGCGCTTGGCTGATCGCTCGTGATGTGAATGAAGTAGATTGCAGAGGAGCCAAAATAACTTTAAAAACATTGAAAAATCTAGACCAGGTTCCAACCACAGCTGGTGTTAATACCAAAAATAGTTTGGTGATCGGCTTTTCGAACAAGAAATCTTTAAAACAGTTGAACTGTTCTACTTCAGCAGTCACAAGGAAAACCTCGTTTTCACTTTCATCTAGTATTAACATAGGAGAGCTAGGTTTATGTTGTATTTGTAAGTCTGCTACGAACGGAGACGAGCTTATGATCTGTCTTTTTGACAAGTCTGCAGGTGAACGTGGAAGGTATGTGGTACGTCGGCACACCAGTGGCAAGTCAGTTGCAAGAGAACTGTCCCTATACCCAGACAAAGTTGAGATCACAAATCCTGTTCAAATAAGCGAAAATAAAGATGGCTTGCTCTGCATTGTATGTCGTCCAGAAAAGGAGTCGTGGGTTCTTGTCGTTGATAAAAATGGAAATCAGCGATTTTGTTTTTCGTCAGTTTCATATCCTGGTGAATCAGAAGACTACGATATTGTAGGTGCAGGATTCCTTAGTAGATCTTTGGTCACCATAACTAGTCGATCAAAACGTGAGCAGTATTTAGTCAACATTGACGGACAGTGTATTCAGAAGGATAAACTTGGAAATAACCCTATCTGTTGCACTGTAAGCAGTCAGGACTATGTGTGGGTTGGATTTGATGGCGGAGAAATTGCCATATTCAAATACGCTGAAGACCATGTTTATTCATCAATTGAACCAAAAACGCATATGTAACAATCGAAAAATTAGTTAAACAATAAAATAATGGCATGAAAAACAAAGTATAAACCCCGTGTGATCGTCGTGTGATACACTTGAATCATTGTATACTTGTCTATTACAATAAACAAAAATGTAACTTTTATACATTTTTTTATAAATTAACTATTGCATATCATTTTTCATGTATTACATACAATGATTGGATTATATTTGTTCCCTACTTTATCAAACCGTAGTATATATTGTGATATGCTCAAAGATATAATAAAGTGCTAGGTCATCTTGTTTGTTTTCAAGCTACAGCTTCTACTTAAATGACACATTTTATATGGATTATACAGAGAAAAAGATTCATAATATGAATGGAACAAAAACTAAATGATATATCAGATGATAGATCTTGTCTTATGTTTTCAGAATATTAAAAGAACAAGATAGTTACATCTTCTAAATATGCTTAATGAAAAAAAAAATCAAATCAAGCAAACATATTCTTCTTTTATAACAAATGATTCATTATAAATTAAAATCACATAAATTTGTTCATTTACATGAACATTTTTTTGTAGTTTGCACTCCTGCATTGATTTTTAAAAAAATCTAGACCTATTGTGTTCAGCTATTTTACAATCCAAGATACTTTTCTTTTAGAGGGGTTACGGAGGACCTTAATGCCAAAATACGAGTGAAAATTAAGAAATAGTCAATTTTGGATAATGGAATGGATATTTTTAATAATGGAAAGGACTGCTGTGATCCTTCAGCCTCTAATTACAGATATACCTTATACGTCATTCGAAAGCTTATCAATAGAGGAACAGAAGGTATATAGTCAATATGATCCGCAACGCCTATTTAGAGGAGTTACGGAGGACCTAAATGTCGAAATACGCATGAACATTAAGAAATAGCTTATTTTGAATAATAGAATGGACTGTTGCAACCCTTCAACCCTTAATTACAGAGAAACCTTATATTCAATTCGAAAGCTTATCAATAGAGGAACAAATGGTTATAATCGATTTGTGCCGCAATGCCCAAAAGGGGTTAAGGAGGACCTAAATGCCAAAATACGCTTGAAAATTAAGAAATAGCCAATTTTGGATAACAGAATGAATATTTTGAATAATGGAATGGACTGCTGCGACCCTTCGGCCTCTAATAATAGATATACCTTATACGTCATTCGAAAGCTTATCAATTAAGGAACAGAAGGTATATAGTCAATATGTTCCGCAACCCGCATTAGAGGGGTAACGGAGGACCTAAATGCCAAAATACGCGTAAAAATTAAGAAATAGTCAATTTTGAATAATGGAATGGATATTTTGAATAATGGAATGGACTGCTGTGACCCTTCAGCCTCTAATTACAGATATACCTTATACGTCATTCGAAAGCTTATCAATAGAGGAACAGAAGGAATATAGTCAATATATTCCGCAACGACTATTAGAGGAGTTACGGAGGACGTAAATTTCGAAATACGCGTGAATATTAAGAAATAGCTTAATTTGAATAATGGAATGGACTGTTGCGACCCTTCAGTTCCTAATTACAGAGAAACCTTATGCCCCATTCGAAAGCTTATCGATAGAGGAACAAAATGGTTATAATCAATATGTGCTGCAATGCCCATTAGAGGGGTTACGGAGAACCTGAATGCCAAAATACGCGTTAAAATTAAGAAATAGCCAATGGAATGGACTGCTGTGATCCTTCAACCTCTAATTACAGACATACCTTATACGTGATTCGAAAGCTTATAAATAGAGGAACAGAAGGTATATAATCAATATGTTCCGCAACGCCTATTAGAGGAGTTATGGAGGACCTAAATGTCGAAATACACGTGAACATTAAGAAAGAGCTTATTTTGAATAATGGAATGGAGTGTTGCGACCCTTCAGCCCCTAATTACAGAGAAACCTTATACCCCATTCGAAAGCTTATTGATAGAGGAACAAAATAGTTATAATCAATATGTGCCGCAATGCCCATTAGAGGGGTTACGGAGGACCTAAATGCCAAATTACGCGTGAAAATTAAGAAATAGCTGAAGGGTCGCAACAGTCTATTCCATTAATCAAAATAAGCTATTTCTTTATATTCACGCGTGTTTCGACATTTAGGTTTAACTCCTCTAACAGGCGTTGCGGAACATATTGAATGTTTCAGCAGTTCAAAGAAACAAATTACAAACAGTATCAAAACATACTACAAAGTTACAATATTTATTTAAATTGTTTGTTTGAATACTGAAAATTTGATGGGCAAATTTAAATGCATTCATTTATAATTGTTTAATGAACAAATTGTACTTCAAAATACTTTGAAATTAATAAAACATAATGAAATATTACATACGTTGTTCTTTATCGATAATTAGATAAAATAAAACAAAAATCTTTCACGAGAAGTGTCTAAGTTCACTCTTATTATGTCATATTTATTTCTGAACTTATAAACTTGAATATATTTTATGAAACCTCTCAATCCATTAGAAATAAAGACTTCAGCTCCCTCATTCATTTGTTTTTCTGCAATTCTTTTATGGACCATTTTGGTCATAAAACGTTTCTATATATTTATTCATCAATCGCTTTCGAGTTGAGGGTTTTTGTTGTAATCTAGAAAAGGGCATCGGACACACTCAAAAGTTCTCTTTCATTACATAAAGGAGCAACCAAAAAAACAAAACAAATATCATTTAACGAACTCCAATACTTGTCTGTACTCTAAGTCAGGCTTCAAAAAGTCCTTTCGGGTTCCTTAGTAAATCCCCCCAAAAAAACAGAACAAACCAAATTCCCGACATAAACATAAACTTTCTAGAACCAAAAAAAATCAATTAAATTGAACCACTATTAAGGTTCCTGACCTGGGATAGTCACATTGCGATTTGGTTGAACTATTTTAGCACTCAAGACCATCCTTTCCGATCTCAATTAATGGGAAATCAAAATGACTGGGAAGAATATACAATAAAATAATCAAGAGAAAACGCAGAGACAGGTTTAAAAAAAAAAGGTTGAGAAATTTACAGTTTCAACGTCGCTTAGTTTATAGATATAAGAAGATGTGGTATGAGTGCCAATGAGGCAACTCTCCATCCAAGTCAAAATTTATAAAAGTAAACCATTATGGAGTCAAAGTACGATCTTCAACATGGATCCTTGTCTCACAACGAACAGCAAGCTATAAAGGGCCCCAAAAATTAATAGTGTAAAACCATTCAAACGGGAAAACCAACGGTCTAATCTATATAACAAACGAGAAACGAGAAACACTTATGAACCACATCAACAAACGACAACTACTGAACGTCAGATTCCTGACTTAGGACAGGTGCAAACAATTGCAGCGGGTTTAAACGTTTTAATGGTACCATACCTTCACCATTATCTGAAACAATAGTGTAACATCACAACATAGAAAGACATACTATAAAATATCAATTGAAATGGCTTAACTCAATCAAAAGACATATTATCACCAGTGAACATACACTGAACAAATAAATTTGATCTATGATACAATGTAAATACAAAATAAATAAACTAAGGTATATATAATTATATACATGAATGGATACATGTAATAGAGCACATATATTCATCAGAACATATTTAATATGTTTTAAATCATCAGTAGTGTAATCTTCTTTCAAAAATCTGAATGTATTTGAATTTGCTTCGATTTAACAGTCTACCATGGCACTGTCCAACCATTCATATACTACTCTGGAAAAAAAAATGTTTTATATGATTTCCTGTTAGATATCCATTGATGAAATGTTTTGGTACAGCCATCTTGTCGTTTTAAAGTTTGCATTTGTCAATTTTACTATGTCTTAAAGTATCCGTAATAAGCAACAACATTGTCTTACATTGTATGACAGTAGCTAGCTTAATGTGTGCCGTTCATAGGCTCTTATTTGTTGATGTTGCAACTGTTTTTTTTTCTTTGTTGTTCAAAGCACAGATGTAACGAAATTAGTATATAGTCCTTTCGAATTGAATGAACTATTCATAAGGTCTTTTCATTCAAATTGTTATGTGCACTTCGGGTTCTAACTCTTTGAATTCTTTCTGGTTTTATCTTCAGCATTTGTCCGAAATGTGTTTCGTTTTTCTCCTTAATTTGTTATATTACAAAGCATTTTTTGTCTTCAATGTGTAAAAGAGGCTTGATCAACATCCAGCAAAGAATTCCGTTCACACTTGTGCTAGAACCCGCCTTTAACTTGTAGGTAGATGTTGTTTTTTTTTTTATCAGAGTTGAAGGCTTCTTTGAGAAAACAGAAAAAAACGCTCTTCAATTGCTTAAGGTTTTATCAAGTGTGCACTTTAGGTCGTGTAGGGATTACAGTCATTTTTTTGCCAGCATACGACTTCTATCTACGCTGAAAATATGAAACACAATAAAACTAAAAAGTAAAATAACAAAAATACAGAACTCCGAGGAAAATTCAAGTCTCTAATTGAATTGCAAAATCAAAAGCTCAAACACATCTAACGAATGAATAACAACTGTTATATTCCTGACTTGGTACAGACATTTTCTGATGTAGAAATAGTGGATTAAACCTGGGTTTATAGCTAGCTAAACCACTCACTTGTATTACAGTCGCATAAAATTCCATTATGTTGACAACAATGTGTGAACAAAACAAACAGACATAATAGGTAAACATGTCAAAAATACGGGTACAGTTGTCAACATTGTGTTATAACCTTAATCACCATAAAATATTAGGTTATAATCTATATTCCTAAGAAAAAGCTGAATAAATATTGTATTAGGATTTCTTTTCAAATGGTGGGAAGAGGAGGTTGTAGCCTTTTAGAATGAATAAAGGTGTTCTAACGGTAACTTGAGATAATAAAACAAATATCCAAAATAAAAATGTCACATAAAAGGTCAACATAAGATTTAAACAATAGAAAAATACATATTTAAAAAAAATGAGAGGTTTTAAATCACCTCCATTTTAGAAAAAAGTACCGAATAAAAATGAAGGCAATGAAAGATCTGCAATCAACACCAAACCCTAAATTGACAAAAACGTAGAGATATAACTACATACAACCAGTGATGAAATTATTGACTGTGAACAGGAAACAGTGTTAAGCTACATTTTTGTGTATATCAATCTTCCTTAATATATACAAGTGGAATCACACAAAGTATACAAAAAGTATAACAACAACAAAAAACGAACTCAAAGGAATATTCAAAACGGAAAGTCCCTAATCAAATGGAAAAATCAAAAGCTCAAACACATCAAACGAATGGAAAACAACAATAGTATATACACACAAAAATAGTATCAGAGTCATCGCAATTTTTTCCAAACAGGTCCAAATAAACTCATCATAAATACCAGGATTGAAATTTTATATTTGCGCCAGAGGCGCGTTTCGTCTACAAAAGACTCATCAGTGACTCTCGAATAAAAAAAAGTTAAAAAAAGGCCAAATAAAGCATGAAGTTGAAGAGCTTTGAGGACCTAAAATTCCTAAAAGTTTTGCTAAATACAGCTAAGCCAAAACAGACTTTTCGGAAGTTATTTCATAAGAGTATTGGTCTATATGGAAATTTGTTTCGAACCGAAGATATTTTTAAAAGACTTGGATGAATAGACTATCCATTTGGTGCTATGAATAATAGGGACGATAAAAATGATAGAATTATAAAATATTTAAAAAATCGTACAAAGTCAACTTTGACTAAATCAGTTTTGTATCATCTGTTTCCAATTTATTGAAAATATTCTTTTTTTTTCATGTTTAAACAACAAACAAATGTCCATTAATAAACTTTACCTGTAAAAGTAACATCCTTGTTCAATTCATTTCGAACGAATTCTGGTGTTAATCTCTTCCTATAGTCCACTTCAAGAAGACCTATCAATATTGGGAGTATGTTCGGTGGTATTTTATCAACTTTGTCCGACAACTGACGATTAATCTAGTTTAAAATAAATGAACTGGTTTAATAAAAACAAAAAAGGTTTTCCCATTGACTCCGTCAATCTAAAACAGCCTTCAAGTATGAGTAACCTAAATTTACATAGGGATCATTAGGATTATATGTGGTATAGTAAAACTTCATATTGTATGCTTGTTGCTAGCGATTTGACAACTTCCTGAAACCTCAAGAACTTAATCTTACTTTTTGCAAGCTACATGACATTATAATTAACCAAAACAAGATATTAGTAAGTTCTCTTTTTACTGACTGTATGACAACTTCATGAAACCTCCCAAACTAACACTACAAAAGTCAAAAAGTCTGAAAAGACCAGTTTTTGTCTGAATTTGCATGAATTTTTACTCGACATTCTTAATTTGTCTGAATAATTTAAAAAAATTCTTGACATAGTATGAATTTGTCTAATAAGGTTCTTCATTTTTCTTGACAAGTGTCTTGACAGTATGAACATTGTCTTAAAATTTCTCGACACTTCCTGTATCATCTGATAAGAGTCTGGATTAGTCTCGACCAATTCTTGACTGTCTTAAATTTGTCTCGATCTGTCTTGACATATTCTTGACATTCTTAATAATGTCTGAATATGTCTCGACTTATTCTTGACATTCTAAATAATGTCTGAATATGTCTCGACACATTCTTGACAGTCTTAAATATGTCTTGACACTATCTCAACAGTATAAATTTCGCCTGAAATGTGAACAGACTTATTCTGCACTGTTTATGACATTCTATTGCTGTTGTATACTCCTTTTTATTATGGCTAAACTAAACTTTGAAGAATCAAGGATTAATTTGGTATAGTAAGATACCCTTTTGGTGCAACTAAGTTGGAATACCCTGAATAATCCCCCATGTAGTTTAATTTTGATTTATTTTTATTAAACATTTAAGTAATTGTTTTCACTTGGAATATAAGTCGAAGGTATTGACAAACAGCATTTAGATTTTTGCCGTTCGCAAAACTGCCAGTCAAATTTGCTTTACTAAAATAGGTGTCTTGTATCTCTTTTGGACCCCACAATTCATCTTTTGGGTTTGTGTGGTTAAAAAAAGAGGGGGGGCTTTCGTTTAGGTCAAAGAATTTGTTCCCATCTTGATTCAAAAACCTTATTCATTTTTTAGAACAACCCAAAAACATTTTTTATTCAAATTTGAGTGTTGAACATGTTGAATTTTATAATTTTTTATCAAAAATAAATATTTGTGATAACTCCTTCCTGAAAAGAAAAAAATGTTTAGATCTATATTATGCATGTCTGTTTTAGAACCATTTCATAAGACCGATGATTTCTATAGAAATCATTGATGGGACCCATTATTAATACATTTTTTTTATTATTCCTGATGATTTTCATTTTCATCTATCAACAAACTTTTTAAATTGTAGTGGCATGGTCGGTCAACTGATAAGTTGTATGGCTGATTACAGGTAAAGCAATAACTTCTATTTGACAGTTGCGTGTACTCTGGGGTGTGGAATACCTTAATTTTATGGGGAACATCCTGTCCATGTGTAATACTTAATATATTCCAACAGATGACATTACACAAATTTTTCTTCTGTTAAATGAATGATTTGTATATCATCATAATTTGCTATTTATATAAACCATATTTTGGTATAATAATTATTTACCATATCAACATTGAATATTATGAATGTAGAATGAAATATGTCTACAGTATGATTGGTTTGAATCATTTAATTTAAAAGATTTAGGAATCAAAATTTGTAATTATTTAAAAACCCACATTGAAATTGTTTTATATCAACACACCCACATTTGAATTATTTTATACTTTAGATTTCATAGCCATATTTGAATTTGTAAAAATATTTATATACACAAATTTTCAATTATTTTACATGCCCAACTTTTATTTTTGTTGTAAAGAAGTGTAACTTGAAACAACAGTATATCATACAAAGAGAAATAAAGATTAAAATTATATCATGAATATTGGTCATGATTTGTAAAACTCAGAACTGTCAAGTAAATTTAAGACAGGATTCAAAATGTTCAGAATATGTCAAGCCATACTGAGAAAAAATAAGAATGTCGAGAATATGTCGAGAAATTTCAAGACAGTATTCAAATGTCAAGAATTTGTCAAGAAATTTTAAGACCATATTCAGAATGTCGAGAATATGTCGAGTAAATTTCATACAAATTTAATATAAATGAGAACTTGTCAAGAAAAATTAAGACACAAGTCATACTTCTCGAGAATGTCGAGTAAAAATTCATGCAAATTAAGACAAAAACTGGTCTTTTCAGACTTTTAGACTTTTGTAGTGTAAGTCTTACTTGTAACTAGCCATATGACAACTTTCTGAAACCTCGCAACCAAAGTCTTACTTGTAACTAGCTATGTGACAAATTTCTGAAACTATACGAACTAAGTCATGCTTAAAATTAACTTTATGACAATTTCCCGACAACACACCAACTAATTCTAACTTATTACTAGCTGTATGTGCTTTGTTCATTGTTAAAAGCCTTACGGTTACCTATAGGTGTTAGTTTTTGTGTCATTTGGTCCCTTGTGAATAGTTGTTTCATTGGCAATCATACCACATCTTCTTTTTTATATATATGACAAATTTCTGAAGCTGTAAGAACTAAGTCATGCTTATTATCAGCTATATGACAACTTCACGACAACACACTAACTAATTCTTACATGTTACTAGCTATATGACAATTTTCTGAAACTTTACGAACTTAGTCATGCTTATAATTAGCTATATGACAACCTCTCGACAACACACTAACTAATTCTTTCTTGTTACTAGCTATATGACAACATTCTGAAACTTTACGAACTAAGTCATGCTTATTAATAGCTATATGACAACTTCACGACAACACACTAACTAATTCTTTCTTATTACTAGCTATATGACAACTTCACGACAACACATTAACTAATTCTTACATGTTACTAGCTATATGACAATTTTCTGAAACTTTACGAACTTAGTCATGCTTATAATTAGCTATATGACAACTTCTCGACAACACACTAACTAATTCTTTCTTGTTACTAGCTATATGACAACATTCTGAAACTTTACGAACTAAGTCATGCTTATTAATAGCTATATGACAACTTCACGACAATACACTTACTTATTCTTTCGTGTAACTAGCTATATTACAACATTCTGAAACTATACGAAATAAGACTTTCTTGCTATTGGCTACATATCAACTTCCTGAAACCCCCACGAACTACGCCCTACTTGTAACTCGCTATTTGACAGCCTCCGGAAACCCAACAAACAAAGTCTTGCTTGTAGCAAACAATAGGTATATGACAACGTTCTGCAACCTTACGAATACATCCTTGCTTGATACTAGTTATAACTATATGACAACTTCCTGAAACCCAAAAAACTAAGTGTAAAGATTAAAGAATGGATAAACATCAAGAATTGCAATCCAGCAACTTCAATTTAAAATTACCAACTGCGACATTGTGCTTATGTATAGTACTCTATATTATTGTCATAGACATTCATAAATGAATGAATGAATTGAGTAATTAATTAATGTATTTATAAATTAACTAATTGCAGCTGCTTACAGTTATTTTCAAACATGTTGTCCAAATAAACTCATAAAATTCTAACTCGTAAAAGTCAAAAATCCCACATATTAAAATATATATTGCACTTACATATTGTTTCATTTTCTCTCTGGTAAAGTTAAGATTGTCCTGAGTGACTTTGCCATTGATGTGTAGGTTCTTTCTGGTTAGTAAATTGAAAAGTATCATACCAAGCTGCCAGCTGTCCCATGCAACAAGAAGACGTTTTACTTGCTCATCAAACTTCACAGGTAGATATCTGTTTAACAAGCTCTGTTCAAGATCTGGAGGACAGAGACATGCAGTAATAGGTCCTAAAAAGGAAGCACTTTGTCAGTATTGCATTAGTATGTATTGCAATTTGAAGAAGCAATAATTCAAATAAAATTTGTTGTTAATATCCGTTATTTGGAATTCCGATTTTTATGCACTATTTCAATCCTGATTTTTTTTAGTACATGAACCAACTAACATTGCTGTCAACATCATCCAGATTTAATTTTCTTTATTAAGATATGTTTAAATTTGTAAAAAAAAAAAACGATAACCATTAGGAAATTAAATATGTCTTTAACACCTATTCAGCTAGTCAATTTGTAATTCCAGTCTATCATTATATTTAGTTTGGATCTGACTAATTACTATATGTGTGTGTGTGTTTGTGTTTCTTGTATTGCTGATTTAATAAGTAACACATACTTAAATGGTTTTTGTCTGATTTCTGCATAATTGTCGAACCAAAGTCTATTATTACGACAGATGAAGGGTCATTTGGATCTCGTACAATAATATTAGACACTGAAATATAAAAAATCATATCAATTGGTCAATGAATGTTTCATATTAAATTTAAAAAGTAGTTAACTAATTAAACAGATATTACAAGCAAGAAGAATTTCTATAATAATTGTATAACACAGTTAATCTAATTATGTATTTTGTGCAATGTGAGAGATGCAGATCCCTACAGACCTCTTATAAAAAGAATTTTTACGTGAGGTGAATATTACTCCAAAAGTAAACATACACGTCAAAACAGCACAAAAAGTTGTAATTAGAATCGACTGTTCTTCCAGATGAATTGTATAGGAACACGTGGTCAAAATGTATTCATAAAACTAGATTTCGTGAAAGTGCTATTCTAATAAATGTTTGGAATATTTTGATGTTTCAATAAAAAAAAAATAAGAAGAATAATCTAACATGTAACAAAAGGGTTGAAGTTACTTTTGATATTTGTAATCGTAGAATTGTTTATTCGTTCAAAGAAACAATGGTCCAAAGCCGGCGAGGAGAGTGGGTCGACTGAGGCACAATTGATTACAGTTTTGTGTCAATAGACGAGCAGGATTACCAACTGATGTCCATAGTTGGACAAGTGGACTTTAATTGAATTTATTTTGCAACTACTAAGCAATATTATATATGTTATCATCTATAAAGAAAGCTTATATTATAATGCCTTCTCCATCTTTTATTTAATTACAACTGTACACTAAATATCAAAACAAATGATACCACAACGACACAACATGGTCGAGCACTCATTCGTCAACATTACCAACGATAAGAGGTTTTAAAGTCTGCATTTATTAAATATAAACAAATATTTACAGTAATTTTTCAATTCATTCAAACCCTGATCTCTTATTCGCTGAAAGATTATTCATCATTAGATACGTTCATATGTTACCAAAGTATGTGAAAACAACCCAAGGTTGTGAAATTAATAGCGCCAATCACCTAATATATTCCATACTATTTTTACACATTGTTTATGAACTTCGTGCTAACAGTTATGTATTGAAAAGTTCACAATTCTGTTAATACAAAAAGTAATTGACAGTATATATATTGTAAATATGAATTATTGATAGAACATGTAAAAATAATTATGCCATACATGTTTGACAATATTGAAATTTGATAAATATTCAAAGAGCTGTCTTTTTTGAAATCGACATCTTCAATGTGCAAATCTCAGATATATGACGTAAATTGATTATTGCTTTCATCTGATCGCAGTTATGTGTTTAAAAAAATAATTTTCAGATTCAAAATGTTAATAACATATGTATGTGTGATTTTGAAGATCCGAAAAAATAAGAATTAAGAATAAAATGATATGTTTTAGAAAGTTTATGCGAAATGAAGGCAAGTGACGACCAAATTTTAAAGCAATGAGCCCTTCTGCGTTTCATGCAAAATGTGAAGGATGATTGCTTTAATTTCGTAAAATAAATCATAAAAATGGCATTCATTCCTTGAATGGTAACCGGCAGAGCGATAAAGCAAAATCATTTTTCTTAAAGTAGTATGAATGGCAATAAAATCGCTCAAGCAAGTAACAACTATCCTAAAACTGTTTATATTGTGATGTAATTTGCAAAAGCATTCTTAGATTTTCATACATAATCTTACATATGATATTTTCCATCTAAAATTAAAAAATAACATCTCTTACAAACAAGAAAATAGGATTTATCACACAAGTATTTCTAAAACTGTAGTTTTTCAAACTCATTTGTATTGATATTGCAATTGTTCATTCATATGGCTTATGTCAAATCCGAATTTAAAAATTCATTCATGAATTTTTAAAATGAAATTATTTACTACGTTAGTGTTATCCCAAGATATATCAACTGAACTTCTGTGTCAAACATATTGACGGGTATCGTAAGGACTGCCTCAAGCATTTTTTTAATGCGTCAATTATTAAGTTGTTTCCACATATTTATAGGAATTGTAACCTAGCAAATATTAATAGTCCGATTTGTACAATAACGAAAAGTCAAATGTTCCAAGAAAAGCCTAGAAATCAATTATATACGAAGACAATTAGTTCATGGGAAAATAAAGATATCAACAATTTTGGTACTTTTAAAAATGAAATAAATATTTTTCGAAGTATACTTAACATTTCAAATCTTGATGGAATATGTCTTCCTTGTGCAACTGGCATACTTTTGCAACCAATGAGTGGAACAATTGTATTTTATCATACAAGTTTCCACTGTAAGTGGTCAACACAACACCTGAAAATAAGAACATGTCCAAAATGCTCTACCAATTAAAGTAATAATTGCTTAATACTTATAATTATTGAAAAAAACATATAATTCTGTTCTTGGAAAAAATCACTGATTTAATTCTATTTTGTTTGATTTTTTTTTTATATTTCTTTTTGATTTTTTTACATTTTGTATTCTATTTTCTTTTCAGTTAACGTTTGTATGAAAAAAATTGTGTGTTTCTTTCAATTTCTAATACTATTATTCAGTGTACTACTCATTTAGGGTAGCCATATGATTTTCATTTCAATATGAATTAATGGCGAAAAGTTGAAATAAATTGAATAACAAATTCGACTAACTAACCATCTATCATTTCCAATAACAATGCTAAGTTGTCATCGTGTGCTAGTACTCCATACACCATGGGAACAAATCCTTTCGTTTGCAACCTCAGTAGTGCTTGTATTTCCTCGTTTCTCCATTTCTTTTTCGGAATCTAGTTATTTAAATAAAAAGCGTATAATTTAGATGCGACTTTTAATAACCTTTATCAATAATATCGAAGTACAGATTGTAAAATATTATAATTTCGTGGGAATACGTTTCAGTAACATTGAGTAATTTTTACAACCATAGAATATCCGACCAGGAAATAACAATGTATTTCATCTTAGAAAGGGAAGAATCAATTACGTATCTGTTGAATGTTTTACTAGATGTCTTTGACACAGCTATTGTACCAATTTCATTTTACGGATCAGATTTGGAGGTTTTGCCAACCAAATCAAGGATCCTTAAATTTGTATAGTAATTCTACGTTTGAAAGAATCCGACTCCAGATTTTTTCTTTACGCTATTCATTTCTCAAAATATTTATTTTAAATTTTAATAACTATGGTTCGAATTTTTATATATTTTTTTAATGCTGTGGGTTGTCAAGTCAAATATTGCTTACAAGTGCAAAAGTCTGAACGAAAACAAAAAGATCAGTTCACAAAATTGAATCTGTCACATACTTTATCTAAATGTCTCTGATACAGAATTTAAAGACTAATTTGAAATTTAAGAACTATTAAAAATGTTACAAATCTATATACTGCAAATCTTAATGTGGTAGTCATTGATGATCAAATGGGAAGGGAAGATGTCGATATTTGTCTATTCGTGTATTTGATGAATATAAACATATATGTAAAAATCATTATTATTCATGTAGCTCAAACAACTTATACCTTTTAAAACAACTTTATTACACTTTTTATTTTTTGAAGTTACTCGATTTATTGCATAAGTCCGAGTATAAATGTTATTAGTTAATCAACTTGCAGGGGAAAAGTTCAGTTAAAAAAAAGAGTTCAATACTTATTTGTTGGTTGTACATAATAATACAATATAATTGAATGTTATAATGACACAATTTATTGCCTTATTGTACCTGAGAAGTAAACCAGTTGGATTTGTAGAGATTGACAATTTAGTGTTTGAAAACATGATTAATTTACTAGTTGTAATTAATTTTTACCTCGCTTTCAGTAACTGAAAGAACTCTTAGGCCGGTACGTTGTGTCTTTTTTTTTTTCATTTTGTTAGTTAATTTTTGTGTTTTGTGCTGATGTAATGAATTCAAGCCCTTTCCAACTGATTCTTTCAGTTTTGTCTTATAATGAGCTTTTACATCACATTCCCGGGTTTGTGAAGAGGCCGAGTGCTCACGAAAAGTTTTTTTTTTAACCAAGCAACATTTTAGATGTGTCTGTCCAGATCATGAGCCAGTAATTCAGAGGCAGTCGTTGATTCCTTTTATTTTGTTCATTTTCTTTCCTGCGTTATCATAAATCAAACCATTGTTGTACTCGTTTAAATTGTGTTTACACTTTCACATGTCGGATCCTGTTATAGCTTACAGTAAAGTATAGGTTATACTCATTGTTGAAGGCCATGCAGGGAGTGATTTTTGCTTATTTCCATTTCATTTTGTCTCTGTTGCATATAGTTTTCTCATTGGAAATTATGCCATCTCTCCTTTTTTTATATATATAAATAGAACAGATCTAATACAAAAGAGCGTTCATATATTTCAGTCGCCTTCTGCTTCAACAATCTGTAGAAAATAATGCAACAACGATAGGTTATTTCGTCGTATTTTCATGTGAATTTTACACCTATTGTACACTTACATATATTTCTATCAAAATTTTGTCCGTGAAAATTAGTCAACCACTTTAAATGTTATTCACAAACGTGTGTATGTCTACATATAAAAGCAATCGTACTTACCAATTTTTTACGTGAATATAACTTGTACTTTATTAGAAAAAAATAATTCATTCGTTTAACATCAAACATGAGCATTAATCACATTTACTATGAATATTATGTTATTCATTTTGAAAAAGGTTTCAAATGTTGAATGAGTTTCGGAGAGAAATATTATAGAAATATTGTTCATCGTGATTTGGTTTCGAAATCTCCTTTCCGTTTTGATTAAACACAGAACGTTTGTCTTGAGTATTTTGGGAAATAATAAATAAAAATGTACCGTTTTTCTTGCTAAAGTCAAAGAACATACGCCATCAGTTATTCCGTCACACTGAACTATTCCAACTCCACCCGATGCGACATCATATTTGCGTTGAAAGAACAGTTTTCCTTTCCATATATAAGATATCTGTTGTAAGACAACATCATATAAATGTGTATATAAAATTTACAAACATGTGGTAGCAGGATAATGATTACATATTACATGTTCTATGTAAGCAACTGTTTTCATAATTACACATATTTTATCTATTTTTATTTACGTCTTGTGTATTTATCAATCAATCTTATACCTTCTTTGTATTTGATTTGCTCTCTCTCTAAATATTGTGTTGGTATTCTTTTGTTTTAACTTTGTTCATCACTCTTCGTGTTAAGCTTCCAAGTTATCCCTTATGATATCCGGAATAGTTTCTGTTTTCATTATTATATGACCAAGGTCTTATTCGATGTCGACATGGACTTACCCATTCTGGAAGTGTAAGAATACATTTTTTAAGACAAGAATTTTTTTTGTCTAAGATATCAGTGAAAATCTTTTCTTCATTTCCAAACTCTATCCATGGTTTCCAATCAACCTGAAGACAACCATTATAAGTGTCTTTATATAATCCAAACTCTAGTTCACCACGTCTTCCAAACAAATTAACCAACATTTGAATTAACTGAATAACACTCCCGAAAAATGGAGTCGAGGATTCTCTCGAGTCAGTCACATCTTCAACCAGACAACATCTGGTTTCTCCGGATATTTGTTCAAAGGTTCTCTTAGTTACGTTGTAAGCATTTCCAGGGTCTGCTTTTTCATCTGATCCGTTGCTACATGTGGCTCCTTCCATATAGTTTATGTTGCCATCTTGTTTTTCATCGTGTCCATTATCGTTTCCATCAAATTCCTCAAATTCTGCAGTTTGTGTACCTTGATCGTGCAATTTCGGTACATTTCGTCCTTGTTTGTAACAACTGCCAGGCCGAATGACAACTTGAGCTGCGCTCCGACTTGCGTGATATTTGCAATCGTTACCATTATTTGATTCATGGTGCTCTTGGTGTTCTTCGTTCATTGTTAGCTCCGATGAAAATGTGTTCACAAATATTCTGTATTACTTCGACGTAACACGACCTGAAAAGTGGAATGTAGATTTAAAAAAGGAGGTTTAAAAATATTTTAAGGCCGCCATATTTCATTATGTCTGTCTATGTTAGGAACCAACTTTTCAGTGGTTGTCTGTTGTTAAATCATTAGGGTTTATGTCCTCATAAGGTTTTAAAACTATGATACTATCTCCATGCACTAAATCTTTCAATCACATGCTTTCAATTTACAGGATGTAATTTTAAAGCTTACTAGTAAACAATATGTTTTGCCTTTTGTTTTACAACGCATTTGTAATTCTGACAGAACTTACTTTAAATTTATATTCTAGTATATTCTTTTTAATTATCATATATATCGTATCTATAGATTGTTTTATAATAATTTAAGTTGGATTTAGCAGCATTTCACCTCGAGTCCAGGTGAATAGTTTTGGTCATTTGAAAAACAACTGCATCATTCAAATTACATTTTTTTTAATTTACCAACACTCTGTTGTTTTTGTTCTATTGTTAAAGTACAAATTAAAGAACTTTATTCCCTGACCCATACTCAAACTTGAAAAATTTATGTATGTTGAGTTACTTGTTCAAAATATGTGAGTGTTGAATTATTGTGGGTCATTATGATCGTGCATGTTCACACTATACGGACTTCATATACAGGAGTGTGCTCCTTCCGCAGAAACTGCTCCAACAGAGTTATGAGGAGGAAAGATTAAAAATGACACTCCGTAAATTTTATGGACACCATCACGAATTGGTTGATCTATACGATGTTTCTGTATCGAAACTAAATAGTGACATTTTTGGCACGTCTTAGATTGTGGTTTAACATCTATGTCGTCTGTCTCCTAATTACCGAACGTGACCTATTCCCGAATATGACTGTTTTGCCGAGTGTGAATTTGCATTGCTATACGACGTGTCTCGGTATTTGTGCATCCAACGTTCATGTGTTTATTTATGATGTCTCTGTTGTGGTTTCGGTTGGATATTGTATTATGTCTTATCGTTTATGGTTTGAATTCTGTATTTATTTTCGGTACATTTCACATATGTCTTATTTGACAGTATAGTCGAGTTAATTTCCATTATCCATGGATAAAGTATTGTGTTAGTCCAGATAATTATGACGTCGTCACAGCATTTATTTAAAATAGCCTTTCAATACCGTCATTATCATGATAAAAGTTTTGGACTAGTATTGTAAAAATAATTGTATGAATTTCAAGATTATATATTCGTTACAAAAATACGTCACGGTTTGTGATGTCCTGTGACGTCGTAAATGAAAAATGTTCTTTGTTTTTCTGCGGTTAACATGTTGTAACGACTATTATTTTATTTGTTTGTGCGTTTCTCTGTTCTGAGTGTTCTTGCGTTTGTTTGTGCTGTATTTCTGTCACGTAGTGATGTAATTTTAGCGATATTTTTAACATTGCCATATAAGCGGGAGGTTTAGTAGCCATAAAATCAGGTTCACCCCACCATTTTTTCTTAAATTGTCCTGTACCAAGTCAGGAATATAGCAGTTGATATCAAATAGTTCGTTTATATGTATGTTGCATTGGCTTTTGTTTTGTCGCACCTCAGTGTTTCTGTTGTTTCGTTGTTTTCCTCTTATATAGTTCATGTGTTTCCCTTGGTTTTAGTTTGTAACCGGATATGTTTTCTCTCAATCGATTTATGACTTTTGAACAGATGTATACTGTTGCCTTTATTTAATGTCTTTTAATAGCATTTTACATATCATGATAGTTCTTTTTTGATATAATAAAATTATATCTGCCTGCCTTTTATATAAAAAAAAAACAGTAGACTATGCTTGGCATGTTTTCTTCTATTACTCTCTCTTGTTCACACCGAAATCTGATAGATAATTATTTAGTTGCAAAATATTTCAAACGAAAGCTGTATTTCTTTCTATCTTATGAATCATCATAACACATGAATAAAAATGCTATTGTTTTGACCTAAATATTAACTCTGGTTACAGATGAACCAGTGCAGTTGGAAAAGTTGCATTGCCTATTATCCACTAGATATGTAAAATTAAATACTATTTTGTGTTTCAGAAAGATAATTTTTTTTCGGATTTTAATGGGCCTTTTTCTTCGTTCCTTCAGAAAGTGTAAACATAAACTAACTTGAGATATCCCCTCACAGGTAACAGTTGTTTTGTACTGTATTGATTGATATTGACAAAAGGACAGTAGATATTTACGCATCAATAGGTGATTTCAATGGGTGCAACTGAGTTGACAGTATCAAAGGTCACTCAGGTGATTGTTCATTTGATTATTTTACCATCATTTCTTGATGAACAAAAGATTTTTTTATAGAAAAAAAATTTTCATTTTAAAAATTCATTTAAACATTTTTTTTCTTGACAAAATTTATTTTTCAATAAATTGACCTTTATTCAACCAAGTCAGTTTTTATGGCAAATTTATTGATTTTTTTCCCCATTTTTTTTTTTTATAAAATTAGGGATTTTTTATCTTCATTTTTGCCATGTTAATATTATTTACCAATATTTTTTGTTCAATGATTACATAATTGAGTGTCAATAAACCTTGCACTTTTACTCAGCAATTTCCTCATGTAATTACAATGATGTGTCCTATATTTTGGACAAGGTAAATTACATAAAACCAATTTTGATGAACTCCTAATGTATGAATGAAATTAGCTAACCTTTCGATTCACAAGGCTAAATATCTATTTTCTGGACAGTATTTGAATGGGAACAAAGAAATGTAGTTTGAGTGATAAATGTGTACAGATGACCATAAACATTTATGTTAAACAGGAAGTGAATAAAAATAACGTCATTTCTATAATCAAAATACATTTGTGATGACCTTTATTAAATCTGAATAGACATTTCTCGTATCAAAAAAATACTTGGAAAGGGTGGACGATTGCTTAGGTATCCCATTTCACCAAGAGAACAAAACAAATGAGATGTGCATTAAAGATCAAAATCAGTAACTTTGGTGAATATTGTTAAAATAATGTCAATCATTTACCATGTACGCAAAAGTTTGGTTTAAACACTTAACAAAACAAACAAATGTGAACTTAAGATTATTCGTTGAGATCTTTATATTTAAAAATACCTTTTCGATTGTTTATTTTGACTGCTAAAGATTTGTCTGAAGTAAATACATTTAGGAAATTCCCAAACCTATATTTAAAGAAAATAGTTGAAAAACAATCCTGAGTCGACTTTTCCGGATAATGTGCATTAGAGCATAGGGACTCGGTATATGTTTGAATACCTAAACATTCTCACGTAACATTACTGAATGTTTTGGTTTTTTTTTACATTGCACACTTTTATCATATTAGGGATATATTAACTATTTCATCTTTTAAATCTATACATATGTGGTGCCTTAAGTATACTTATAGATATATATAACTTACCCAAGAGTATCGTTGAGTACTCTTAGGCTGAGAGTTACACGGTTCTGTGTACAGCACCGAATTCCAGGCTCCTACGATCAGGGAACACGTCTGTCAGTTTGGCTGTCTATATTAACTCTGAGGGAAACCCGGTCATTCGGAACTCTCTTGATTAATTGTGTTTGATTGTTTGTAACCGGCGTACTCCACATTCCTCTCCCTTCTTTTTGATAGGATTTTATTACCGTTCAAGATTGCAGAATTAAGAGTTGTCTAAAGTTCTTGTGCAAATCCAAGATAGGTATTATCTAACATCCAAGTATCCTTAGTTATCTAAAGCCATTAAAACGTGAACACACAAACATATATACAGGTACACACATGTGATAAATGTTTAATCCCAAACATACAAAGAGCACATAAAAGTTAAAGGTATATCTAACGAAAAAACAAAGCTTTATACAGTTTTAAAATCATATCTATGAATCAATGAATTATTGCTTTATGTTATACAACTTCAGAACGTTTGAAGTTGTAATATTGGCCACCTCTAGGAGTGATAAATTAAACAAGTTGGTTAATTTTCTAGCTATGTCGTAAGTCATGGATGGACATCCTGTTCTTCCTCCTTTACTACTTAGGTAAGGCGCATCCGTTTCAATGATTATATCATTGATATCCATGTTACAGACAGTCGATCTTATATCAGGGTATTTCTCTTTTATAATTAAAAAAGGGGAAATCCCAAATTTACAATTCGGAAAGCAACTCTTCCATTTCCTGTACATACTTGTGTTACCCCCGAAACAATGTCTATGTATAGGATGGTCACTGTTCAATACTTTCCTCATAACTCCTAAACATTTATCGTCTGTGCTATCTTCTCCCGACAATTCCCTACAATGGATTACAACGGGGAGTTGTTTCACCTTTGCCAACTGCAGCTGACTATCAAGAACCTCCACTTGTCTGCTAATATCCCGCTCTGACGCTTGTTGAGCGTCTAACCCACATTCACCAATTGCACACACCTTCTTCGCTTCCACCAAAACTTCAAAGTCCGACAACCAGCTTTCAATTTGACGTTTTGATTCCCTCGAAACCATCTTTGGGTGTATACCAAACGTAAACCGCAACCTGCTATCTTTTCTCAACTGTTGTTGGTCCTTGCTCGATGGCCAATTACGTGGAAAGCAATAATTGGAAATCAGGAACTGAATTTCCACGTTTCTGTCTGTTTCTTCCCACGTTAACGACGGTAGACCAGAATGTCTGGTCTCTTTTAAATACAAATCTAAATGAAAATGGCTATCTACAAGTGGTATTGAGTGTTTTCTTCTTTGAATAGGATGTAATTCAAGTTCTTTTTCGGAAGTGATTAAATTCTCTCCAGATTCTGTATGTGATATTAGAAGTGCAAGGATTTTCCAGTGAAGTAATGAATGTGGATCGGTAGGTGGATAGGCTGAATGTAAACGATGAGATGGCTTGTATCTGTTTACCTCATTAAACAGCTTTAATAAAGGCATATCTGACCAATGATGTACCCCACCGGAGCAAATAGAAAAATCACGGTGCTCTTGGACAAATTTGACCAAACATTCAAATTCAACTGATACACGTTTACAGATTTCATCTAACAAACCGTTCATAAGGTATATCCATTTATTCCCATGCTTCAATATATCAAATGTATGTGGTTCCTCTCGGCTGCTGTGTGTTTATCATATGTACCTGTCCTAGTTTCTCTTGTGCCAACTGTAGTCTACAGGTCCAACATGCTGTGATTGGCGAGGTATACCAAGGAAGATGGAAGCAAATAACATGTCTCCTCACATTAGTGAATCGTCCTGGACAAACTGGACACGACTGTACTTTACCATTACGTTTAGAACTGCCTCTAATTGTTGACCGAGGTTCAGGAATTTCACCCTCTATAGGTTCATAATCTGGTTAAAAAGCATTGTCAGTCATCTATAATAGACTATTTACACAGCTACATATGCATATATATATCTTATATATTGAGTCTATACATAAACATAAAAACGCAAACAAACACATACTAAAAATACTGAATAGTTCGTCAGAAAAATATCAAACCGTTTACAAGACCAGACAAACAGCTATGACAGATAGGACGCACAAAAACAATACAAATAAACAGGACAAACTCAAAATATACAGGACGGATACGTATACTGCAACATTTATTGAACAACACAGTATAATTACAAAGCACAAAACATTACTATACATATATACAAATAAAACAACATCTTGTCTACACATTATTCAACATAGTCGCACAAATAAACGGGCTTCTTAACTTTCCGCTTTGTGCTTGACTCTTCTGCTGAATATTCTTGTATATTAGCATCCCTGTTACCGTCGTCAAAATCGTAGATAACGGTATCATCTATCTCCTGAATAATATCCATGTCATGCAAATTATTAATGACGATTCTGTCATCTTCTGCCTTGTTTTGGAGATAAAGCGAGTCTCCTATTTCGGGAGGCGTCATTCGCTGCAGTGTCATCACGGTACATCGGAACATCCGATATTTCAACTGCTGTATTACGGCACATCGGAACATCCGATGTTTCTACTGACGCATCACGGTACATCGAAATTTCCGATGTGATTAGACTCGACTCTTCAAATAATGGCTCCAGATTTATGTTTGTACCTGTCTCTTCAGGGATTGTTGCATCTGTCGCTTGTACCTGTTTAAATAGGTCAGATCTTTTCAGTTGTAGCCACACCGGAAGTTCGCCGTCCGTACACATTTTTAAGCGATCATGGTGTACGATCCAGTCTTTCTTTCTGTCGCTTATTTGAAACAAAACAGGATTTATCACTTTAGTGACTATATAGGGTCCTTTCCATGGTGATTTTAGTTTTTTAGACTGTCCGATTTTAGTAACTGAATCACGTTTGTAAACTGCGTCCCCTTTGTAGTAGGTTTTAAATTTTGCCCTAAGATCATAATCTCTCTTTTGTCGTTGCTGTGCTGATTTAAGATTATCCCTAGCAATATCATGTATCAAATTCAGAGACATAATCAGATCTTGTATGTATTCTACAGTCTCTTTTTCATGTTGATTTACAGCCAAAAGTCCAAAAGATAAATCAATAGGTTGGTTAACCTCTCTACCAAACATTAAAAAATTTGCAGAAAAACCTATCCGTCTGCTCGGTGTTGCTCTGATTGCCCCTGCAAGAAGTTGCAAATATTTGTCCCATTTGTTTTGCTGTTTCTTAAAAAAGCATCTGAGAGCCTGTAGAATGATGCTATTGTACCTTTCGAGTTGTCCGTTAGAGGAAGGGTGGTATGGTGTTGTTCTGGTCTTTTTTATTTGTAGTAAATCACAGTTTCCTGATCATAACGCCATTCATATTTTTTCCTTGGTCAGTATGTAATTCTAACGGACAACCAAACTTAGAGATAAATCCATCCACCAGGGCTTTCACAACAGTATCTGCAGTTTGATTTGGCAAAGGATAACACTCGACCCACTAGGTAAATTGATCGATTACCATTAATATATACTTGTTCTTTTGTTCTGTCAGTGGTAAAGGACCAAGTATATCCATGTGCACTCTTTCTACTGCTACCCCGGAGATATATTGGCCTAGCTTTGCCCTAGAATGTTCTCTCGCTCTCTTGTTTTGTTGCATATTCCACAGGATTTTACATATATCTTAGAATCAGTAGACATTCCATGCCAAAGTGCGTACTGTTTCAGCTTCATTAAGGTCTTAGTCTGTCCCATATGACCCGACAAAGGTAAATTATGGCACAACTCTAATACTTGCCTTTTCATATTTTTTGGAACCATCAACAGTATCCTTGGTTTAAGAGGGTCTTCCCATTCATAATATAGCACCTCGTTTACCATTCTCAATTGGGAGCGACAGGTCCAAAAATGTCTAACTGCTGGACTGCTTAATTGTAGCTTTAAGATGGTAGGTTGATGATTTCTTTCAAACCATTCAATGAGGCATTTCAAATCTTTATCCTTTTTCTGTTCCTCACTGATTTTCTTTGGAGTATAACCCTCTATCCAATTACATCCTCCATCTTCGGGTGATATACGTCGGACTGATATAGGCTGCGCATAGTCAACTTCTTTTTCAAACACTTTCCATTGATTCCTGGCCCTTGTGCAAAATTCACATCCGCCGCAAGGAAGCTGGTTCAGTTCCATGATTTGTTGATATTCAGGACATGCTGGTAGTGTATCAGATATTCTTGAAAGTCCATCGGCATTCGTGTGTTGTTTACCAGCTCGGTGTTGTATTACCATTTGATACCGGGCAAGTTCCTCAATCCAACGGGCTAGTTGTCCCTCTATGTTTTTGAAGTTTAATAGCCAAATAAGGCTATTATGGTGTGTCCGAACGATAAAGGGTTTAACAAGAAGATAGTGTCTGTACTGTCGGGTGAATGCAATAATAACAAGAAGTTCTTTTCTCGTTGTACAGTACTTACGTTGAGCAGGTGCAAAGTGTTTTCTCTTCTCCATCTTGCACTTGACTAAGTTCAGCACCTATGGTGTCATCAGAAGCGTCTGTATCTAGTATGTATGTACCATGTTATCTAGGGTAGTTTAATATAACCGCGTCAATTAAACAGTTCTTCAATGTGTCAAATGCTCGTCGGTGCCGTTCTTGCCAAATAAAAGGTTCTTTCAGTCTTACAATCTCATGGAGTAGTAGTGCTATACTTGTATATTTAGGTATGTGATCCCGATGGTAATTCATGAAACCTAAATTGGACTCTACATTGTTTTTACTCTTTGGAATGGGCCAATTTCTAACGACTTCAACATTCTCTGGATTGACTTTTACCCCTTCAGCACTGACAATCTTTCCCAAGACTTTAACTTCTTGCTGAAATAAATTACACTTTTTTGGCTTCAATTTCAAGTTATACTTCCTGAATCTGTCCAATACCTGTTTTAAGTTTTCCAAATGATTAGAAAAACTGTCGCCTAGTACTAAAACATCTAGATAGGCCAGGCACTCTTTCCATGCCTGTCCTTGCAAGACAAGCTGTATCACTCTACTAAAAGTAGCAGGACTATTACACCAGACCAAAAGCTAATTTTACATGTTCAAACTGACCATACTTTGTAATAAAGGCTGTCTTGTGTCTATC